ATCGTTGAGAAAGACACATTTTCTGGAAGATTGTGAATCGAATATCCGCGGCAAACTGGATTCCTGCCTTTGTCCTGATCCGATCGGGTCCAGAACTTTGTTTTCACCCATTCTCAGGGCCCTTAAAGTGACCAAATGGTGTCTAACAACTGACGGGGTAGAGGGGGGAGGGGAGGCCTAGTGAGCAGTCAATATGTGCCCATGTGTGGTGCGTGTGTAACAAAAAATGCGCTGCATATATATATATTCTGATGGTACAGGAAGAAAGGTTTCTTAAACCAAAAGTAGTGTCTGCGACAATTTATTGAATCATTACAGTGTCGACTGAGAAAAATGTGCACATTGAGATTGTTGACAAAAATTAGTCAATTATTAATTTTATGGGATAAAAATTAAGTCCGCGCAGTCAAGAAATCCGATGACTTTGATGGGATTCCTGTATGTTGTAGACGTTGCAACGTAACGGAGGGTGAATGTTGGCAACTGGCTGCGTGGTTAGTTACAGAATTTATTAGGTGGGATGGTAATGCAACTGGCCCCGTGAAGAAAACTGAACTCTTCTAGTTGAACGTCCTTCCAATCGGGCAGGTGACAGCCTAGAGCACACACTTCACATTTAGGTTTTTTTCGGCAGTACTTGGGTACACTTGGAACAAATAGTTTAAGTGAGAAGTTGTTAGAGAACAGCTCCCTGACTGCGTCGGTGTGAAGCCAGGCGTGAGCGCATGGAAGTCTCTCTTCACGAAGTGGATGAAGCTCAACGCCCTGCAGGGCTGGGGTCGTTTGGGGCGTGACCTCTAGCAGCAGTGCCATCGGGGCCGGGTCGACCGCCAGGTGCCTCAAGGCCGGCAGCGAGGGCAGCGCGGCCATCAGTGGTGTGACCAGCGTTGAGCACTTGTCACGGCTGCCAAGGCCCCCCGGCGCCATAATGACTGTCAGTGACTCCAACTGGGAACGCCCCGAGGAGGCCAAGGCTCGGATCAGGTCCACGCCTAAATCAACGAGGCTGCTGTCTTCGTAGAGTGATGAGCCGTAGTACAACTTGACTTGGTGCAGCTGGTGGGCGCGGCGGAGGAGTGACGCAGCCCCCACGAGGGCACGTCGCTCAGGTATGTCGCACACATTGACGGTCAGGACCGTGAGGGACTCGCATGCGACCAGTGCCTCAAGGCCGGGTAACAGAGGGCACCGCAGCTTCCGAAGGTTTGGCGTACCGGCCAGCAGGGGCGCGGTCTCGCTCGAGTAGGCAGACGATTTGGTGCCGAGGCCGAGGTCAATGTCCTCCAGGGTAGCGGCGTGCGTGCCAAGCACGAAATTAGCAAAACCATGATCTGACCGGGCAAACCAGGGGCAGATGAAAGACCTCAGCGATGACGTAGTCATGGCGCCGTGTTGAACTAGCATTGCTTTGGTGGACGCTGAACAAGGAGGAGTTTGAAAATTGAAATAAACCTCAAGCTGTTCTAGGCAAGACGTCGATGCCACCGTCCCCAGTAGGGCGGTAGCGTCCTCTGATTCATCCTTCGAAATATTCCTATGGAACTTGATGGCTACCTTAAGGAGCCTTAGTCGGCCGAGCCCCTCCTGGTTGCGAATCATAGCGGCTGTGTGCATGCAGCCCCCTTCGTACACAGTCAAAGACAACTTTTGCACAGCACACCTGGTCATGGTGCACACGAGCAGACACCCCCAAACAGGCGGCGGGAGAGTGGCATACAGCGCGCCGAGGCACGGCGCCAGGCGAAGCACCGGCTGCCACAATTGGTTGTCGTTGTCGTCCTCGTCCGCGTTGAAACTTCGATACCGCCACACGTCAGGGTGCAGCGCCAGGGCCCCGAGCGCCTTGCACACGAGGCGGCAGGCGAAGAGGTCTTTCACGGTCAGGCACCGCATCACCTCCAGCAGCACGTCGTCTGGCAGCTGCTCCATGATCTGGGGGACACCTATGAGGAAATTTACAAAATAGCACACAGGGCTAAGAAAGAGGCAGTCCCCTCGAACAGGCCACAGAGCTCCCAGCGTGGGCGTGGCCGAGCCGAGTGAGCGGAGCTGAAGGCAGCGGTCGCCGCGCCACACACCTTACAGCCGAGCACCCGAGCCCCTGCTGCTGCAGCAGCAGCTGCAGCTGCTGCCCTCCCTGTTCTACAGGAGACACAAGGGGAAGAGGGAGGGGTTTGCACGTTTTCTCCTTCTAGTGCTAGATTCAGTGAATATATAGAATAATATGGAGGGCGTTAAGCGAGGGGGCACTAACTCCCTTTTAATGTGTACACATGATTCCCGAAACACTTGCTTCCCAGTGATTCCCGTCTGCTTGTATTCATTCCTTTGGTTTTCTAGTGGTAGAAAACGCTTATTTCGACTAATTTGTACCAGTTCCACCAGTTTCCCGCTTCGTTCAAGCGATTTCGATTAATTTTTATCCTGATGATTCCTAGGTAGGAGTTGCGTAAAGCATAAGCGCAGCCGAGCGGAGGGGGCACGCCCCCCGACTTTACATTGGCACATCTTCTTAAAAAGGGCCATATCATATCATCAGTACGGGAAAGTCTGAATGTATGACAACTCCAGAAAATGCTTTTCAACACTCGTCAAAACCAAATATGCGCCAAGATGATGTTAGGGCACGTACCCCCACCACTGTCAGAAAAACACACAGCGAAAGGCCTACGGTCTGCGCTGTAAATTTGTTGCCTGGGTTATGTCCGAATTCTCGTCCGGTACGGCCGGAACGGTCCGGTCCGGTTGGCTCGCGGCCGTTGCGAGCCGCGCCAGCCGTTCGGGGCAGCCACTCATTAGCAACAAGGATAACGCAGGTCGCGGGGCTATCCTCGCGAGTCACCCCCGGCATGGGGTAGCTCGCGAGTCACCCCCGCGGATCACCCCCGTCGGAGGGGTGCATATCCTCGGGACTCGCGGCCTGTCATCTCGCGGGGCGCTCGCGGTCTTCGGGGCGTCGCGGGTATTGGTAGCAGCCGAATGGTGGATGGCGCGGCTCGCAACGGCCGCGAGCAAACCGGACCGGACCGTTCCGGCCGTACCGGACCGTTCCGGCCGTACCGGACGAGAATTCGGACACAACCCACGTCCGGCACCGTAATGTTTGGTTACGCCCGTGACAAACAGAACAGACCGTAACTTGAAAAAATGTTGGGGAAGGCGAATACAGCTCTAAGCCCAAACAAGAAAGTACAGTTCATACTGCTACGGCCTGCCTGACCGTACGCTAAAAATACGGTACGAGAGATGTTGACGTAACCTAACCCCAAATTCTTCTACGAGACGGCAAGTCACTAAACGGCGTATTATATGCCATTGCCCAATACTCGCGGTTCACTCGTTACGATCGGCCGACAGGATGAGACGATAAACTTGCTGCGGACGAGTTGCTAACTTGTTCACACGGCGCTGTTTGACACTGACCTTTATGACGTTGCAGCAAGCGTTGGTAGCGGCTGGCCTGGCGTGGAATCGTGATCCGTTCTGAGGTCTGTCAGCAGCAGCGCAGCATGGTCGATGAGGCACCAAGCCTGTCTCGGCAGCCACCGAGGAAGGGGAGACGCTGCGCGCTGCGCGCTGATTGGTCCGCCGTGCCGTACTCCCACTCCCACCACACTCTACGCCCCGCAGCCTCTACACGTCACAAAGGACAGTCTCGCCGCCGCTCGCCGCAGCCGCACGAACGACACGGCTTTCACAGAATCGGGGGCAGGGGCAGCCGCCTGGAGAGGCGCTGAGATAGGCAAATTGCTGTGCCAAACCCCTGTTTGTAGGCAACCTACAGCCCACTGTTAGCCGGACCTAAAACCGCGCCTGTGCCGCCGACAGGTGGCGTGCTGAAAAAACCGTGCTCGGCAGGGAGCACTCGGGAGCACCGGCGTTGTGTCGATAGCGGACATGACCTGGGCGCCGATGGTAAGGATGGACGTTAGCGGACATGTGGTTCCTCGACGGCCGACTCGGGGTACGGCTAAGTGGACGTCTTTCTCCCCCCCCCCCCCCCCCCCCTCTCTCTCTCTCTCTCTCTCTCTCTCTCTCTCTCTCTCCCCTTCTCTCTCCCCCTCTCAATGTGTTCGCTCGGGAAATGCACGTCTCCTAAGTCTACAAATCCTTTTAAGTACGAGGGTTAAAAGTGAAAATTTATTAAGTTCTGTATTTTGAATAGAATCCAAACCTGACAATAATTTTTACTACACGTGAAAAGGACAAGACAAGCAATACAAAACGATACAAAAATAATACATCAGGAAAACTAATGTATACAAATTTATTGTGAATTAGAATAAAAAGCAGTCTTATTGAGATTGTGGGATAAGGATCCAACAGCGCTTGTGTTCTGTAGAGTGCTTCTGCGAACACTTCTCCGTGGGGTCATGTGAGAAGAGACCAAGATGGTGCCCCCAGCGATAGTCCTCTTCATTCCATCTGATGCACTCTTCAAGTTCACGGTGGCATCCCACTGCGCACGCCCCCTCACACATCATCTTGTCATAGTCACCACATAAGATGGCGCCTGCCTCCACGTTGACGTGGAGCGAGGGGTTCGCCGACATGACGGCCTTAACCGCGTCCCCGTGGATCCACGCGTGAGCGCACTCCCCGCGACCCAGCACCACGTCGACACTCTGAAGAGCGGGCGCTGTGTCAGGGTGAATGGCGCGAAGCAGCCCGTCGGGCTCGCGGTCCACCTTGAGGTGCCGCAGGCACGGCAGCGAGGGCAGCGCGCGGATCAGCGACGGCAGGTAGGGGGCGTTCTCTCCCTGATCGCCGGAGTTGTCGAGGGCCAGCGTCTCCACGCGGGACCGCCCGGACGAGGCCAGGGCCAGGACGAGGTCAGCGCCGACGTCGTCGGCTCTTCGAATCCCCGGCTCGTAACTGATTCGCACCACGCGAAGTTGCACGGCGGCCCGGAGGAAGTCCGCGGCCCACGCGGCGGCCAGCCGGTTGTGGGTCACAGTGAGGTCCAGGACCCGGAGCGACCCACAGGCCGCCACGGCCTCCATCCCGGGGTTGCCGTCGCACTTGAGCCGGCGGAGGTGCTGCATGCCACCCAGCAGGGCCCACGTCAGGGGCGTGCTGAACGTGGAGTGCAAGAACTCGACCTCCTCGAGGGTGGCGGCGTGCGCCGCGAGGATGAAGTTGGCGAAGTCCACCGTCTCCCGCCGCAGCTCGCACTGGAAGCGCTTGAGGGAGGACGCCGGCAGCGTGTCGGGGGCGGCCAGCCAGGGGATGTCGGTGTGCGCCGTCACGCGCAGACCGCCCAAGCCCGGCGTCTGCGCCACCGCCGCCAACAACGCCGAGGCATCGGCCTGCGTGCGAAACTCGATCACGATGCCTCGGAGCCCGCCGAGCGACCTCTGCCTGCACACGGCCTCGGCGGCGTCCTGGACGGCGGCGGCGTTGCCCACGGAAACACTCAGCACCCGCGCGGCACACGAGGTCGACGTCAACGCCGGGCGACACCCGCGGACCGGGAGCCAAACGGCCAGCTCCTGCAGGCACGGCGCCAGGCGCAGGGCGGCGCACTTCCAGCTGCAATCATCCTTGCCGTCAGCGGCGGGGCCTCGGGCGGTGCGTACCTCGATGCAGCGGTGCCGCCACACGTCCGGGTGCAGGACGAGCCCGCAGAATCTCTTGCACACCAGGCGACACGCGAAGATGTCCTTCACGTCCACGTACTGCAGCAGCGCCACCAGGACGTCGTCCGGAAGCTCCTCCATGCTCTCTGTAAGGGCAGAGTCACTCCGGTTACTACTCCGGCCACGCTAACGGCTATCACAGTCGTAAACACCTTGGATTGAACTTACCTTTCGCTGGGAGAGGCGGCGGTGGCCAGGCTAGAGCTGCACTGGACTGGTATTATAACGTATTATCACGACATATCCTAGATATTTTAACTCCTCTCTACAGAAGTGACTTTTATCAAAGTTAATCGTCAGACCCGCGCTCTCCAGGCGACTAAAAACTTGTTTTAAAAGGTCCATATGACGTTCAAAAGTCGGAGCCACAATTATAATGTCGTCCAAATAAACAAAGACGCTTGGTTTAAGGTCTTCCCCGAGAACGCGGTCGATAAACCGTTGCCACGTCGCCGCGGACGTATGCAGCCCTTGCGGCATGCGCGTGAATTGGTACAAGCCCTTACCGGGGATAATAAAGGCAGTCTTTTCTCGACTGTCCTTTTCAAGGGGAATCTGAAAATAGGCCGACGTTAAATCGATTGACGAGATGAATCGCGCTTCCCGAAGCTGATCTAAGATATCTGTAACTTTCGGTAACGGGTACGAGTCACCCTTAGCTAACCGATTAACTGAACGAAGGTCAACGACCCACCGGTAAGTACCGTCCGGTTTCTTAATGAGAAGCACCGGAGAGGCCCACGGCGACCGGGAGGGTTCCACGACGCCTTTCTTTAGCCAATCTTCCAAACCGGTGTGCAAAACTTCGATCAACTTCGGCGAGTACGAGTAGTATCTATTGCGCACGGGAGCGGCGTCCCCGGTGTCAATGCTGTGGGTGACCAAGTGCGTACACCCAAGCCCAGGACGACCCAAGGTAGGGCGGAATTTCTCCACCAGCTCTTGTAGCGCCTCGCGCTGCGGAGCATCAAGGCCGTCCTGAGGAACTACAACGGCATCGACGGAGGGTTCCTCCGCCGGCCGAGAAAGCGAACATTTACCGTCTGACGCGTCGACAATTAGGCCAAAAGCTCTCCAGAAATCCATTCCTAGAATTAACTCATGGGGAAGGGAGGGGACCACTAAGAAGGTCATCATCTTCCTCACACCTCCGACCTCCATGAGTGCATTTAGCCTACCTAACACCGGACACCGCTCACCGTTCGCTACTTTGATCATGTTAATAGGGGATTTCTCTAACTTCACCCCTGACTCTTGCAATTTCTTCCATTCGGTCGCCCCAAGATAGGAAACGTCAGACAGCTTAGCCCAACCTCTCCTCCCAACTACCGAGGTTGCCGCGCCACTGTCTAACAAACCGCTCACTGCCTTGCCTTGAATTTCCACCGGTAAATATAAACGACCGTCTGCTTTTGTCTCTAGCTCTACCATGTCAATAAAAAGTTCACTAGGGGCGTTATTCTTCTGCTTACACCTCCTAGGACCGGCCCTGCCCCGGGCTGGCCCTACCACTGGTTTTTTGTTGCCTTAAATTCCGTCTCTTCCTTCGAAGGGTCAAACTTCTCATCCCTCCAGGACTCGCCGGAACTAGACCGCTCCTTTGTCTCCTTCCGAGCCTTGCACACAGGGCAAGTCACCCGCATGGCCCCCTTCTTCCCACAACCCCAGCAAAACATCTCAAAATCGCCCTTAGCGCGGCAGTCACGGTACCCGTGGCCAGCCCTATCGCAGCGCCAACAAGTAAAAGAGGGGCGGTTCTTCTGGGGGTTGTGGGGAGCGGACGCGGCCACTTCCGGGTCCGGCTCAAGTGCGTTGACCGCCGCTTTGGCCCTTCCCTTGCACTGATAGGCAAACTCGGGCTCCATTGGCGGACACTTAGTACGCGACTTGTCATACCGCTCAACACGAAATTTTGCCATTTCTAACTCCCTCCCTAAATTTTTTAAATGGCTGACAGACATAACGGTGGTGAGCTTTAGGCCATCTAAATAGAAAGGAGCTAAATTCTTTAGAATGATATTCAGCTTGATCTCTTCCTTGACCGGCCCCATTTCGGACAACCGCTCGAAAAGCATAAGCATATTTGCTATATACGCTCCTATCTGCTCATTCTCACCCTGCTTACGGTTCCGGACCTCCTCCCAAAGGTTATCGTAATATCCCATCGGCAAGAACTCTGTTCTCAAGAACATCTTAAGTTCGTTCCAGGAATTAACCTGATGCTTTACCGAGCGGTACCAAGTCTTGGCCCTACCCGTGAAAAATTCAGGGGCGCCTCTAATTAGATATTTGTGGGCGATACCTTGGCTCTCTGCCTTCTCCTCAATATCCATCACAAAACTCAATACACTCGCCTCACCCTCCCCTGAAAACGTCACATTCCATTTCGAAAAATCAATTTTTGTTCGACTAGATGGCTCAGAACCTGAATTGGATTTAGACTTATTAGATTTCTTAGACGACGAACTGTCACGTGTAGAAGGAGGTTTGACAGAAGGACAAGTAGACGCCGAACTAGCAGTATCAGACTGAGAAGCAGAAGTAGCAGTAGAGGAAGCAGCAGAGGAGACAGAAGTGCCAGACACGGTAGAAATAGAAAGGACAGAAGAAGCCTGGTAGAGAGGCCCCTCATGGACCCCTCTGACGGTCCTAACATGCCCCTTGAGGTCGAGCAAGAGGGCCTTCACACGGTTCCTCTCGCCCGCCTCACTATGCTCAAGTAGCCGGCTCAGCCGCCGATTGCAATGAGCCGCTAAGGCCCGGACACGAGCAGCAGTAGAGTCGTCGGGTTCCAACTCCAACAACGCCACTGCGGCCCCCAACTCCTGCACCTTAGCGTCCATCACGCTCAGCTCCTCGTCGACCTGGACGGGGAGCAGCGCGTCGT